CCGGATCTGTGTCATTTCCCGTGCAGTGACCCACTGCACCGGCTGAAACAGCCATGCTGGAGATTCATGGTGCCTTTTCGCCCAGGAATCTCCTGGCCTGGCTCCCTGTCAGTCACCTTTTTATCAGTTGAATGGGTAACTGTGTCTCCCAGGCGCTCCAATTGCCAGCTAAAATGGCACCCGGACCCATGTATTTTTTGTGGAGACCCACCGCTGGCCAAAACAGCTGTGCTGGCAACCCATGGGGCTCCTCCACCCAGGAATCTCCTGGTCTGTGGATAGTAAAAATCCATCTGGAAATGTGGCATCCACTCACTCTTCACACTCCCACTGGGAGCTGCAGTCCAGAGCTGCTCCTAATCAGCCATCTTGTGGCAATATTTTTTAACTACCTGTGTGGCCTCCCACCCCACTGTCTCCTAAGGTAAGCATTCCTATCTTCTATTTATCATTTCCTTGCTACCTCCCTGTCTTTCTCTTTTTTAGGCTGGATCTAGCTCTGTTGCCCAGGCAAGTAATCCTACCACCTCAGCCTCCAGAGTAGCTGGGACTACAGGCACACACCACCACGCCCAGCTAATTTTTGTGTTTTTTGTAGAGACAGTGTTTTGCCGTGTTACCCAGGCTGATCTTGCACTCCTGGACTCAAGTGATCCTCCTTCCCTGGCTGCCCAAAGTCCTGGGGTTACAGGCATGAGCCACCACACCTGGCCCATTCTCTTGCTTTTGAAAAAAGTAGATAGAGTGTTTTCAACTTTGTCAGTATCATGCTGTGTGTAATCTTCAGGACTGTTTTGTGGTTTTTTTTTTTTGACTCAAGTAAAAGGCATGATGTTATAGAGAGTTCTCTTTTTTCCTCTGTGGTCTACTGCTACATTATGTGAATGTACCCCATTTTCTCCTTTTAGTGAGCATTTGAATTGGTTCCAGTTGTGTTGTTGTGGACAGTGCTGCTTTGAACATTCTTGTTTTCATTAACATATCCTGGTGTATGCTTTGTCTAGCAGTGGAATTGTTGGATCATGAAGTATGTGAATGTTTAACTCTGGAAAACAATGTAGCATTACTTCACAAAGTGGTTGTGCCAAATACACTTTCACCAGCACTACGTAAGGGATCCTGTCAACTGGCCTCCCCAGCACTACTATTCTTGTTTTTCACCAGTTGAACCAGTGTAAAATTATATTTCACTGTGGTATTAGTTTGTATTTTTGTGTTTAAGAATGAATTGGCATCTCTTCACATGTTAATTAGCTACATGTAAATGTAAACTATCTTTTTCTGTGTAATTCCTGGTCATGTCTTGCCCATTTTTCTATTTGGTTCTTTGTCCTTTCATATTGATTTGGTACAGGTTCTTTACATACGTTGCAAATATCTCCTCCCAATCTGAAAAAAAAGTATACCATGTGTAATGATTCTTTTTGATGAGTAGCAGTTGTTCTTCAGTGTTTTATGTTTTCTTTCATGGTTGTTTTCATATCTTGTTAATGAAACACCTAACCCTAGATCAGATCACCTACCTCTGTTCTACACTAAAAATTGTAAATTTAGCATATCAGTCCTTAGTTCATCTGTAGATGACTTTCGGGAATCCAATGTAATTTTTTCCATATGGATAGTTGTCTTTTTCTTGTTATTAGTATTGAACAATCCTCACTCCATAAACCTGCCATTCTGTAAGTATTGATCTGTTTCAGGTCTACTTTGTTCTGTTGGTCAATTTGTTAGTCTCTGTGCCAATATCAACCTGTCCTAATCACTGTAGCTTCATCAGTCAATTATCTGGTAGGGCAAATTCTTTTTATTTTTCAACAGTGTTTCACATATACTAAGGCTTGGCTATGTAAATTTTAAAATCAGCTTATGAAGTTTTGTTCTGTTCTGCTTTGAGAGCATCTCACTCTGCTGCCCAGGCTGGAGTGCAGTGATACAATGACGGCTCACTGCCACCTCCGCCTCCTGAATTTAAGTGAGTCTCCTGCTTCGGCTTCCCAAATGGCTGGGATTGCAGGCATGTGCCACCACCACACCTGGCTAATTTTTTGTCTTTTTGGTAGAAACAGGGTTTTACCACATTGGCCAGGCTGGTCTTGAACTCCTGACCTCAAGTGATCCACCCACCTTGGCCTCCCAAAGTGCTGGTATTACAGGCATGAGCCTTCACACCCAGCCTCCAGTTGACTTTTAAACCAGTTCTTTGGGAAGTTGCCACTGATTTCTTCATAAGGGGATAATGGGTGATTGTGCTGAGGCCTCAGTGGGCAAGGGAAAGAATAGAGCTTAACCTGCTTCCTTTTCCTTTATCACATTCTCAGCTCATCATCTTCATTCCCTAACTCATACCAATTCAGAACAACTATTCTTCTTAAGGACTTAGATTGTTAAGTTCATAGATTGCTAGATTCTGTGTTTCTCCAGGGTTGATTCTGCAGGTGTGAACAACCGCTGCTAATTTTCCTTATTGGCAGAGCCAGAGTGAAACTCTTGCCTTTTTCAAACAGCTCTTGTAAACTTTATTTTTAACAAAAGTAATTTATGTTTATTTCAGAAAAGCAGAAAGAATGTTGTTACTGCTGTTTGTAACCACTGCTGACGTTTTGGTTTGATGACCTGCCTGCCACTTTTCTCTGCATCTCGTGTTTACTGTCTCCTGCGTTGACTGCATCTTGTGTTACTGTTTTCTCTACCTAATATAGTGTGTGCATGTCCCTATGACCCAGTGTATGATTTTACAGAGCCATTTTGAGTTGCATGATATTCCATCATCCAGAGAAAACATAATTCAACCAGTTTGCTATAGTTGGCTCTCTAGATTATTTCCCACTTCCCTTAATTACGTATTGCTGTGTAATGAACACCCTTGTAGATAAATATTCTTCACATCCATGATTATTTCCTTAGATTAAATTCTTAGTGGAATTTCAGGTCAAAGGCTTTAAAAAGTTCCATGTACAACTCTCCAGAAAGATTATATAATTTTATTCTTACACCATGAGTGTGTGCACTTCCATGCACCCCTACCTTAAACCGATGATGAATTTTGTAATATTCTGCCTTTTTCTGAGTTTGGTTTCATTTGAGCACTTGACTCTTGGTTTCCCCTTTCATGCAGCGCTGAGCTGAGTCTTCGTAGAGACATGCATTAACATAGCTTCTTGGAAACAACTGGTCTAGTGGCTGGAAGGATGTGGTCAGTGGCACTGTGCATGTAGCAGAGGTCAGCTAAAATCCAGGGGGAGGGGTGTATGTGTGCCTCCACGTTCTAAGAGAAAACTCGTTCATTATAGAAATAAGTGTTACCTATAAATAAACATAAAAAATCAGCTGTGATCCTACTGATCAAAGATAACTACTGTGCATATTTTGATGGCTTGTCTTTTCTCTAGATTGTATTGGATTTGAATGTGAGCAGGTGTGTTTCTTTTCATTCTTTGGTCTTTTGTATGCAGCTCTTCAAGAATGCCTCTGCCGAATTTTCCAGCTTGCTTATTTGTTCTTGTGTCCATTCTGCTTCTCAAGTTTTTCTTTTTGTTTGTAACTATATATTTAATTTTCAAGAGCCCTAATTAGGGTTTTCTGTTGGTTTATTTTCAGGGTTGAGTATTTAGCCCAATGAGGATATTCCCTCTGCTTTTTAAAAAAACTGTTTTCTGTTACCGCTGTTCCTTCTCCTCCTCCTTTCATCCTTCTATTTGAGGAATTGGTGATCATTCTTTCATGGCATCCTCCTTTAACGTTTCTTGATTCTTGGTGGTGTACTCATCTTAGTGCCTGGGGTCTGTGTTGGCCTGCCTGGCAATGTTGTGTTTCTATGGGCTGCTCCAAGGTTGTGGAGAAGGGGTGTGAGGTACTGCTGAGTGTCACCAGGATTCAGGGCTTGCCCCCAGTATGGTTTGGCTGTGTCTCCACCCAGACCTCATATTGAATTGTAGTTCCCATAATCCCCATGTGTCATAGGAGGGACCTAGTGGGAGGTAATTTAATAATGGGGGTGGTTACCCTCATGCTGTTCTCATGATAGTGAGTTTTCACGGGATTTGATGGTTTTTATGAAGGGCTTTTCTTGTTTTGCTCAACACTTCTTGCTGCTGCCATGTGAAAGAGGACATGTTTACTTCCTTTTCTGCCATGATTGTAAGTTTCCTGAGGCCTCCCCATCCATGCTGAACTGTGAGTCAAGTAAACCTCTTTTCTTTATAAATTACCCATCTCAGGTATTTCTTTATTAGCAGCATGAGAAGCCGCCTGGCTGGCTTATGTGTCTGCACTGGTGCTCTATCCTTGAGGCAAAGGCTTCTGCTGCCTTCCCCTGCCTGTGGGGAAGGATGAGGCCAACCTGTCCAGCTCCTCCAAATGTAACTCCTGGGTGCACTTGAGCTGTGGACTCTATCCATCTGATCAATCCCGTTTGCGTTCTTTCAGTACTTCTTTACCTTTCTAGGCTATTTACAGCATTCTTTCTTACCTTCCAATGCTATTATGGATTTTTAACATCCTTCCATTATTTCTAGGGACATTTGGTAGAATGGAGTGTCAAATAGCACTTAATTCAAACACTCTTATGCTTTCATTATACAGAATATCAGGACCTGTGTAGTAGTTCATTGTTAAGAACAGAGTCCTGAGTCGGGTACACATGGATTTAAATGCCAGTTCTTCTTACTATGTGACATTAAGCAATTTTCATACTCTTTCAGAGAACGTCTTTTTTATCTACTAAATGAGATCATTGTTATTGTGAGGTTTCAATGAGCTAATGTGTGCAAAGCCATCAGCAGAGCACCTAGCAAAGAGAGAGCACTCAGTGCTTAGTCTTTTGGTTATTTTTGTCAATTTTTATTCTTAGATTTCTTTTAAAATTAGGCCTGATTAATGCGAGTCTGTAAAGAGCCTCTCTTCCATCCATCTTGACTGGACAGAGTTTTGCCTTCCAGCCCTTCTCCTGGCCTCACCAAGAACAAGCAAGCAGTCTGACCCCCTTCCTGTTGTCTTTACAGCTCAGCTCCAACAGCTGGAAGGGCTTAGGACCATCGGTGTCACCACCAATGGCATCAACCTGGCCCGGCTGCTCCCCCAGCTTCAGAAGGTTGGTCTCAGCGCCATCAACATCAGCCTGGACACCCTGGTGCCTGCCAAGTTTGAGTTCATTGTCCGCAGGAAAGGTGAGCAGATGTGGATGGGGCGGGTTTTCCCTCCCAGAGTCCGCTTAGCTGGGGAGGGCATGGCCAGTGCTGAGCGAGGGGCCTGGTCACTTCCTCTTGGTGCCTGGGCTATTGGTAAGTCACAGCACTTATTTCTCACCCCTCATCTTTGCCAAATGTACATCAGGGACTTTGGGGGTCAGATGCTAATGACCTAGGGAGACCAACCTCCCCACCACCCCAGCCCCAGTTTGCCCAGGACTTGAGGGGGCTTTAGAATGAAGGACTTGAAGTTTTAAAACCAAGACAGTCCATGGCAAACTGGGTGGAACTGGTCATTCTACAATGAGCTCTGAAGAAACATGGACAGCCCAAGACGGAAGTAGCCACTCTGGGACACCAGGGTGTGGGTGTGTACCATCAGGTGGGGGTCCTCCATCAGTCCCACATGGTTGTCCCTGTGCCCGCCTGGATGGAAGCCTCTCCTAGGCACCCCTTGCTGCAAGCACACCCACATCTGCCCAGCTGCCTCAGGAGGCCCAAGGTGGACAGGTAGAGCCAGCCTCGAGCTCTGGGTCGCAGTAGACCAATGCCTCGCTTCCCCTTGGCATGGATCTCATGTTGGGGCAAAGGCTTTTCAGGTTTGGATACCTTTTGATTGGGGGAAAGGGGTATATGATTGAGGACTATGGAGAATCAGAGGGATGACAGGGAGACCCAACTCTCCTCCTCCTTCCTTGGAAATAGCTTCAAGATCAGCCCCACCATCTTCTTTTCTCCCTTTTCAATAAACAGGGTGTGATGCCCTGCTTATACCCTCCATGTGCTGAGGAAGCACCTACTCCACCTCCTTCCTCTATAAAGGGCTGCTCTAGGTGCTGTGGAGGGGACAGAAGACACACAGACATTGCCTTACAGGCTGCTAAGGGCCAAAAGATAAAATTCCCCAGGACAGTCTTTGCTTGTCTTGTGGTATTGATTAAAGTGTTACAGGGAGGAAGAAAGAAAGAATTAGCAGGAGAGAACTAGGAGGGCTTTAAGGAGAAGGCATGTATGCTGGCCTTGAGGAACAGAAGGGTTTGAATCAGTGGTACATACTCCGAGGGGAAGCAGGAGTAAAGAACCTGCAGGGGCTCTACAGTGGGAAAGTAGGAGGTGGATCTGTGGCCTGTACCTCCGCATACACCTTCTCTTTGTCTCTTATTTCTTGGCACATGGATTGCAGAAATCGGATCTTCCCTCCCATTTATACTATTTCGTCCACCATCTGCCTTTGGAGGGGAGTGTTTCACAGAAAAGAAAACTTACAGCTCTAGGTTATCCTAGCAGCATTGTTTTTTCAAAGCCACACATTCTTCCCTCTACCCTCTCACTGAGCAGTCTGAAAATGCTGCAAGGAAACCCTAGAGACCATCGCTAGGCACCCTCTCTCACAGGTGACCACCCAGGCTGTGCAGGCTGGGGGGTGCCGGAGGGGGCCAGGATGCAGTAGGTGATCACGTGATTGTATGCATGAGAGAACTGGGCAGTGAGAAGTCAGCCGGGGTCACATTGACTGTGGTGAATGATTGTCGAGACAATAATCACTTTCCAGCCCTGGAACAGCATCTGTGCGTAATAGGAGCTTGGAGGGTATGTGTTGTGTGAATCATTGATGGACTGTTGAGGAAAAAAACACTGAAATGGAAGTGGAAAACCTGCATTCTGAAAGATGGAGCCATGAGGCTCTGAGCAGGGCATTGTCTGAGTCTCCATTTCCTCCTGTAGGGTTCAACTAGATCCAGGGTCAGCATGCTATGGCCCGAGGGCCACATCCGTTTCCATATAGCCTTTGAGCCAAGAATGCATTTTACAATAACATTCGCAATCAGTTAATGATAGGGAACATTATGAACTCCATTTAAGCAAAATATTGTCCCTGCAAAAAGAATTGCATTATTGTATCCCATTTATAGATCTGGTTTACAAAACATTGCATTCAGTTATTACTACTGTATTTGGAATTGAGTCAATACTTTGTGACATATACTTACATGGATCCTCCGTGTTGCCTCTAGGTTTGCAAAGCCTACGATATTGCTCTGGTCTGTTTCAGAAAACATTTGCCAGTCTCCAGACGGGATGGTTGTTGCGGCTCCTTTATAGCCCTGGTGCTTTTCTGCGGAGGCGTGGGGGAAGAGGGAAGAGCAGAAATTCACGGATCCTTGTTTCTCCTTCCCAGGCTTCCACAAGGTCATGGACGGCATCCACAAGGCCATTGAGCTGGGCTACAACCCTGTGAAGGTGAGGCCATGCCCCTGCTGTGAATTCCCAACGTCCCCCTACGCCACCCTGGCCTTCCCCTCATGGCCCCTGGCCCACTTGAGAGCCCTCAGCTCTGGCCAGCATGGCTGCAGTGCATGCATCCTCCTACCTCATCTCTCCCAGCTGGTCCAGCCCTACCCACCCTTGAGAGAAAGGAGAAAATCAGTGACCCATGGAATCCCCCCAACTCAGAGAACTGAGTGGGAGAAGCAAGGAATGGGTCCCTGAGTGGAAGGCCTCAGTGGTGCCAGGCCCCCATGAAGGTGCCACAAAAGAATGCAGGGGCACAGCCCTCATGATCCCACCGTCCCCCCGGCCAGGTGAACTGTGTGGTGATGAGAGGCCTTAACGAGGATGAACTCCTGGACTTTGCGGCCTTGACCAAGAGCCTCCCCCTGGACGTGCGCTTCATAGAGTACATGCCCTTTGATGGTCAGTGACCAGGGATGGGGTGGGGAGGGGAAGAAGGAACTGGGCCTGCTGGTCAAATGGGATGGCTCACCCAGTGGGTAGCGGTGACCCCAGGGGTGATGGGAGAGGCCCAGGCAGGCACCAGGTCTAGAATTATGATGGGTTGTTGGTGGCTTCTCGAAGTCCACTGTGGGTGTGATTTGATCCACCCATTTTAGGCAGGGCCCACTGTCCCTCCCATCCAAGAGGCTGGAAAACTGATTGCTGCGCTATGGCAGGGGATGGACTCGGAGACCCCGGGGCCCCTTCAACTCTGATTCAAAAGCTTCCCTTGCCTTCCCCCAACCCAAACACAGGCAACAAGTGGAACTTCAAGAAGATGGTCAGCTATAAGGAGATGCTGGACACTGTCCGGCAGCAGTGGCCAGAGCTGGAGAAGCTGCCAGAGGAGGAGTCCAGCACAGCCAAGGTTAGGGAGCAGGAGGGTATGGGACAGGCCTGGAGGAAGGTCATGCCTCTACCCTAGGATGGAGAGCTAGCAGCCGGCTGCACTGTGGTGGGGATACAGTGATGTGAGATGGTACTGTCTAAGCAGGAAGCATCAGTGCTATCACAACCGCCTCCCTGTTTCATGGAGGAAGATGTGGGCCTGGCTAGCGTGGGGGTCTGTCACGTATCAGAGAACACACTACAGTAGGTGGCAGGGGGCGCTGCTCAGCCCTCTTCCACACAGCCTTTTCTGAACATGCTACCTTAGCAGCTTTTATCTAGGGCAAGCCAGGCATGGGTCAAGAACCCATGGGTCATCCGTCCTACCAGATTCTTCTATCACCTGCGGGCCTCAGGTGGAGCCTCATATGGGCCCCTCTGGGAGAGGGTTGAGGAGCGGAGGTTCTGATGTCACCCAGTGAGAGCCTGGACTCTGTAGCTCGTCCCCTTCACTGCCCTTTTCCTCCCACTCTACCCTGCCCAGGCCTTTAGAATCCCTGGCTTCCAAGGCCAGATCAGCTTCATCACGTCCATGTCTGAGCATTTCTGTGGGACCTGCAACCGCCTGCGAATCACAGCTGATGGGAACCTCAAGGTGAGCATCCCCTTTCCCACGGAGACCCTTGCCACCTCTGTGTTATCAGAGCTCCTCCCACCTGTGCTCCCTGATTGGACTGAAGACTGGCAGGGCACAGTGCAGGGGTGGGTGGTGGCTGGTGCAATAATGTCAGGTTTGGGGGCATGATGGGAGCAGCAGGTGGGGGTGAATGCATGGCCACTCTGGAAATGTCACCCTGATTCCTTCCTTCCTTCTGTGGGGCCCTGAAGTGGCTTCTGGTTTTTTGGGAGCTCCTTTCCAGCTCTCATGGAGAGCCGAAGGATCAGTGTGCATTTTGCCTGGCCCCCACCATGGTTAACCCCTTCCACCAGGCCAGGGTCTCAGCTCTGAAACCAGACATGGATGTCACTTGTATCTAACAAGCATGTCGTGTGCATTCAGCCCTGTGGGGGATGTCGGGATCCCTTCTCATCAGGGCCATGCAGACTCAGATGCAAGACCAAACAGAGGCAATGTGTGGCAGCATGGGAGTCCTTGCCACATGGGTGCCTGGATAGGCCATGAGGTGCTGGGCCTCAAGGAAGAGCACTGCGGACCTTGGCGAGCCTTGAAGAATGGGTGGGAGGGGAGGGCACGCACGTAGGGTTCATACTGGTTGGGCAGGCTAGGGCAGATTAAAGTCAGCCATGGGAAAACTATGTTGTAGAGGGCTTTGGTTCAGAATGTGTTCTGTGGACAGTAGGGTGCTGTGTAAGGTTCCTGAACAGGGGGGACATCCTCCATGCATGTTTAAGAAGCCACAGGTTGAGTGTGATGACAGGAAGACAATTAGATGACTGTTCAGTGGTTCTCCAAATATGTAAGAGTGTGTGTTGAAGGAAGATTTTGAGAGCTTGCTAATGTTGGCTTAAGGAGCGGGGGGAAGGCATCAAGGTATCTGGAAGGCCCTGGGATCTTTCACAGTTGTGGGAGGGTGGTGATGGTGGGTTGGATGTAGATGCATCCAACTTGAATCCAAAAGGAACCAGCCAGCAGGTTGCTGAAAAGCTTGGGTTTTCTTCTAGGCTGGAGATATGGAATTGACCTGGACTGTAGGTACTGTCTGTATCTGTGAGGTCTTGGCAGGAAACGGAAGATGGGATTCTGAAGAGAATGTAGTGAAGAAGCTATTTATAGCATATAGGATTAAGGGAACCAATAAGGGATACTGAGGTACTTGGGACTAGCAGCAGCAAACAGCTGTTCCCACTTAGGCAGGGCAAGGGGGAGCCACTGATGTCACTGGAGCCCAGGAAGGGCTGGAGCCTTAGAGGAGAGGCTACCTCATTGGCACTTGAGCTGTGCAGAGAAGCAGCTGCTGCCAGAGATACCAAAGCAGGGAGGAAGCAGGGGAGAAGTGCCTCAAGGTCTTTCCCTTTACCCCCTGACCTCCCAGGCAGGAGCCAGCTGGGGGGGCAGGGGGGCGGCTAGCAGGTGAAGTCCTCAGGAGGAACCTCTTTGTTGCAGAGAAGGAAACCCGGGGGCTGGTGGGGGAGTTGAGGTATGAGGTGAAGCAATTAGAATGATCCTAGATTTCACTTCTGTCTTATCTTCCCCAGTGGTCTCTGCCCTCAGAAGTTTCTCAGACATTCTTCTTTCTCTGTGGCCACAGTGCCTTGTGCAGACCTGGCACCGAGTAGATGCTTTATAAGTTTTGGTGGAAGGATGGTAGGTACATTGATTTCCGGGGCTGCCTCATCCCTTACAGAAGTTGGGAAGCATTGAGCAAGTTTGAATGACCTTAAGTTGTCATCCCCAGCAGCCCTCAGCTGAAGCTTCCAAGCAGTGATTGCAGGCTCAGATAAGTACAGAGCAGGCAGGTGACATCCACAAGTGACTTGGAGGGGCTGAGGTAAATTGGGATATGTATGGCACAGCAGGGAGTAGGGGACTTCCAGGACACACACAGCTCCAGCTGACTGGGGGCCATTCTCATGGTGATAAAGAGGCCATTCCAGACGGATCTGGATTTTTATGTGCTGTCTCTGTTGGCATCTGCTTAGTTTTTTCAGATACACTGAGGGAAATATGACTCATTCACATATGGGCATTGGGAAATCCAATTTTGCATCTTGCTCTTCTAGCCTCTCTGACCTCCCTACAGCACCTCTGTCCCTCACTGCTAGGGGCCCTGCCATGGGAGGCCTGGGCCCTGGTGCTCTTCCCTGGGGAATTCAGGGAAGGAGTTAGCTGCTCAGAGGCCAGGAGGCCAAGGTTCTCAGGGATAATGAAGGCATGTTGTCCTCGCCCCCATGTAGGTCTGCCTCTTTGGAAACTCTGAGGTATCTCTGAGGGATCACCTGCGAGCTGGAGCCTCTGAGCAGGAGCTGCTGAGAATCATCGGGGCTGCTGTGGGCAGGAAGAAGCGACAGCATGCAGGTAAGGGCAGGGTGGGGAGGGCTGGCCTGGATGGTGAGTGGGCCTTGTCCCCTGGAGGGAGGTCTGGAGTTGTGGGGTGAGATGCCCAAGGAACACCTAGGAGGAAGCTGGAGTCAGCATCATCCCCACTACCACTTACTCTTGTTGGCCCTCTGGACTCGGGGTGCAGTGATGGTGCTCCTTCTATGGGGAAATGTCATAGCAGAGGCTGCACAGGAGGGGGACCCCCAATTCTCTTGGGCTGCTTTATTGGGTGGGGAGCGGGGGATGACATTGCTTCTCTCTCATCCCACATGTTGCCTTCTGTTTAAGGAGGGCAGGGTCCTGATGTCCACAGACTGGTTCTCTGGGCTCAGCCGTGAGCGACCTTGCAGTGCACACATGGGGGCCTTTTGTCAGGGCGCATATTGCTGAGTGCATGTGCTGGGGGCTGTCAAGCATGTTCGTTTCAGTGAACTCTGCTCTCCTTACCCTCTCTATCCCCTTCCCCTGCTTTCTTCTCCCTCCCCATCTTTCCCTCACCCCAGGCATGTTCAGTATTTCCCAGATGAAGAACCGGCCCATGATCCTCATCGGTGGGTGACCCATCAGTACGTAACCACTCGCCCTTGTCATTTGGGGACCCTGTGGGGTGGGAGCCGTGCCCTAGGCACCCACAGCTCCTGCATTTCATGCTGATGTTCTCATCCTTGTGTGTGTTCTATTCCTCCTTCATCTCTTCTTAACCTTCAAGATTTTACAGTTTCTTCCCTCCCTGTTCATCTTCCCCCTTACTATATCTGCCACAGAAATGATCCTTCTGTCTCACCGGAAGTCGGAGCAGGGGGATGGTCCACCAGATTTAATGATCACTAAGTTAGGGGCTCCCTAATAATTGAGATCCTGGTTAAAACAGAGGCCTTTTCCTCGGCTCTAAAATCTCCCAGTTGGATACCATGACAGGTGTCCTCTGTAGTATAGACTGATCCATGTACCATATTATCTGGCCATTAGCCTCCACTGGTGGATGTGTGGCCACACATCTGTGCTGGGCTGGGCAGAGTTTGAGGCAGCAAGTTAATGTTACTCACCTTTCCACGGAGGAGATGGCCAAGACTTCAGCTTCCCAATTCCTTAACTCTCGGGAACATCTGCATAGGACATATCACTGTATGTGGAGGATGCTTCAAACAAAAGTCCCCCCTTTGAAGGCCTTATGTATTCTCCTACCCCTGGGGGCTAGGCTGGTCACTGAGGAGCTGTAGGGTGGCTGTTGCTCCTCTGGCACGGTGCCCAGATTAGAGCAGGTGAGGCCTTGACCCTTTGCCCACAATCAGGTCTGGGCCCCCTGAACTGTGCCACTAGGAAAGAAAAAGCAGGGGGAAAAGAAATGAGAGAAAAGATCCTTTTTCTAGAGGTTGGAGCAGTGGAGCTCAGTGGCCCAGAGGAAAACAGCCTAGAGACAGCCCAAGGACTATCTTTGCCCACCAGCTGCCCAGGAAAGCAAAGGCAGCTCACCATTAGGAGGAAGACTCTCTTCTCTTCTCCTTCCACCCCCAGCATCAAAGTCCTCTTGTTGCACCCTGACCCAAGCTGAGACACCTTCATGGCCTTGACAGCATCTCCCCATAAGGGAGGCTGTACCTCTGACATTGACAAGTCCAGGGCTTAAAGTATGATGGGAAGTGGGAAGCTGGGGAGAATTTGCTTAATACTTTCAGAGATACTGAGTAATTAGTCCGCTTTCTATACAATCAAGAGTTGTCTAAAACAGGGCCTCTCAGAATGCATGTGAATCACTGGGGATTTTGTCGTTTGGATTCTGACTTAAGAGGTCTGGGGTGGGATTCTGCATCTCTTGTGAGTTCTAAGGTAGTGCTGATGCTGCTGGTCCACAAGCCAACCACCCTTTGAGTAACAAGAGCCTGCACCATCTGAATCAGGCCATCAGTTTGTGTGCACTTTTGATGTGCTTGAGGGGACTTGAAAAACATTTAAGTAGATCAGGTATTCCTCTTATTATCTTGTCTGCAAACTAAATGGTTATATTAACTCTTCATGGAGAACGTGAAAATGAAAATAAGTGTAATTGGTAACTTAGGGTGAGACCTAGCTCTAGTTTAAGAAAATTGAAGGGACATTCAGAGGTCATGTGATCCAGGCCTCAGCTTGCTGCTGCTTGGGAGAACTTGGGAAATGAGAAGGTTTTCATGAGGAGGGGGCCTGGAGTCGCCCTGTGCCACCCTGGCACAGCAGTCTCTGGGAGGGCTGTTACCCTGTCCGTTACTGGGTGAGAAGGGCTGTGAACTTGGACTCTGGATGCCATCTATCCGTGGATCTTCTGTTTTGTCTCTTCCCACTAAGCTTTTTGTTCTTCATTCTCTTTCCCCTCCTGTGAAAGAGAACTTGAGGTGGGATAGGGAGAGGGTTGGGGAGTACAGGTGGGAAAAATAATTGCCTTTTGGACTTAGTCTTTCTTTTTTTTCTTGACTTGCAGAGTTATTTTGATGTTCCGTGATTCCCCACCAGCCAATCCAAGCATTTCCTCCTGGGATGCCCTCCGTGTTGAGGGTCTAAGATCCAGAATGAGTTTCTCCAGCCAGATGGCCACTTTATGGAAAGGATACAGGGTCCCCCAGACCCCTCCTCTAGCCCAGCAGCAGCTGGGGTCTGGCTCCTTTCAGAGACACTACACTTCCCATGCAGACTCAGATGCCAACTCACAGTGCCTTAGCCCAGATTCCTGGGCTTCTGCTGCCCCCTCAGGACCCCAGCTAACCTCAGAACAACTAACTCATGTGGACTCGGAAGGACGGGCAACAATGGTAGATGTGGGCGGGAAGCCAGACACGGAACGGGTGGCTGTGGCCTCAGCCGTGGTCCTCCTGGGGCCCGTAGCCTTCAAGCTTGTCCAGCAGAACCAGCTCAAGAAAGGAGATGCCCTGGTGGTGGCCCAGCTGGCTGGAGTCCAGGCAGCCAAGCTGACCAGCCAGCTGATCCCTCTGTGCCACCACGTGGCCCTGAGCCACGTCCAGGTGCAGCTGGAGCTGGACAGCACACGCCATGCTGTGGAGATCCGGGCATCTTGCCGGGCTCGGGGCCCCACTGGGGTGGAGATGGAGGCCCTGACCTCTGCTGCAGTGGCCGCCCTCACCCTGTACGACATGTGCAAGGCTGTCAGCAGGGACATCGTGTTGGAGGAGATAAAACTCATTAGCAAGACTGGTGGCCAGCGCGGGGACTTCCATCGAGCTTAGCTCCTTCCTGCCGTTCTCACCCATGGCCCAGCCAGACCTGATGGGATGCAATTTGGGCTGAGGGAGAGACGTCAGGTTCCTTTAATCACAGTCACTGTTTACCTTGAGCAGTAAACCCGAAGAGAGCCTGCTTCCCTACTAGGCCTGCTGCTAGATGATCTCTAATGATCAATGAGCTTCCTTTCTGTAGGGAAGATACCAGCAGGCCCTCAAGCCTTCCAGGACAGACACTAGGGTCATGGGAGCGGGACTGCAGCCAGCAATGCTAGGTAACTGAGAAATCATGTTCTTTGTGGACTATTTCAGACCAGTTTCAGACAGTCCAGCCCAGAACTTTTCCTTCTCATTTTGGGTTTTCTCTTCTCCTGCCCTCCTGGGGAGAGATTAAGGGCTCATTAAGCAGAGGGGCCCACTCTGAGGAGAGCAAAGCACAAGCTTGGCTGAGTAATGCATCCCAGCTTCTCCCCAGCCGCTCTGCCTCCCTCAGCCCATGAAGCCGCAGCCCTGTCCTGCCCTGACTTCATCTCTCCTTCTGCCCAAGTCTGTGTCCCTTCAAACTTGCAGGCTTTCAGCTTAACCGCTGCCCAGTCTTGCTGGCCCCCTTTCCTCAGGACCCCTCCTCTGAAACAGGATATGCACACATGGGTCACAGCCCTAAGGACTCCTGACGGACCACGCAGCCCACACCTGGCCCTACTCATGGCTGTTTCACCCACCCCTCTTGATTCTGGAGCATATCAGGGAAAGAAGACGATAGATTGCCTTCACCCTCACAGCGCACAAATAAAGCTATGATGCCAACTTTGCAGATGCGAGAATGAAGACTCTGTGTGGATAGGGCACCGGGCTGCTGCCGTTTCACAGGGAAGGTTGTACGTTTCAGCCCTATCCCAAGACACATTGCCCTGGGGGAAGAAGGGGAAGAAACATGCCCCTTAGGCCCTGCAAAGGCCTAAGGGGCATATTCTCTGTATAGCCCCACTGTGGGAGAATGTGACATGGGAGGCATAGAAATGCACCATCTAAGGGAAACTTGTCAGGTAGTGGCCAGGGGTGTTCAAAGCTCATTGCTTGCATCACCTTCTATTGAAGATCAGAGAGAACAATTAGAGAATCCTGGTTTTCACATCCCCAAACAAACACTGTTCTGGCCTGCTGGGCTCTCTAACTTGGTTAGATGTCTTTGGGTCTATCCTCAGTGGTGCCTCCTGCCTGCCTCCCCTCTGCCCTCTGCCAAGGTGTGCTGGCAAATGTTTAATAATCAGCTCTCCAGAAAAGACCATTTCTGTGATTTTAAATACTCCCATGTGGAATAATTTCAAGCTACCAATGTTATGTCAAATGGCTTGCAAAATTCCTGAAAATGTGAACAATTGGTTCTCACAGAGCTGGTACAAGCTGGCTCCAGGACACCACTCCAGCCCACCCCAAATCCCCTCATAGGAAGGAGGCACAAGTTTAAAGTCAGAATGGGTAGGGATGGTATGAATTTAATATTTTTTAGTATTACAATATATTCTTATAAAAAAGGTGCAAGTGAAAAAGGACACTGCAGACTTTGTCCATGTAGCCTCATTTGTCATCTGAGGCAGCTGGTGAGAATAGCCTTGGTGTGAAGGCATCCCCGGTAGAGGTCAGGGGAGATGGTGACAGCTCCCCAGTTGATGGAAATGGGGATGGGAGTGGGAGAAGCTGGAACAGACCCTTTTCCATTCACCTGGAGAACCTTCTCCTCCCACTGCCCTAAACACTTTATTTCCATCACAGGGCAGAAATGCTGCTGCTGAGAAGGTTGCATTAGGTTGATGATGAATTTTACATTGGCCAGGAAATTAGACAGCTGGAGAAACTTACTTAAAGGTGGCAGGAGTGGTGGGGAGGACATGAAAAAAGCAAGACCAAGAAACATTAAGAGGCAAAAACATTTAACGTATTAAGGATCAGCTCAGCCACCCGCATTGGGCACCAGCCCCTTCTTACTGAGTTGAGTATGAGTCCGTGGTGTAAGGCACTGTTGGAGACCTGGCACCAGTGGCATCTAGAACCAGAGCCACTGGCCAGATCTAGAAAATAATAAATAAAAAAATATCTTTTAGAGTGAGAAGGCTGGGCTCTGGAACAACGTATTTGTGCCCTCTGTCAGCAGTTAAACCAAATTCGGCTTTTCTGAAGATCAAATGTGTCTTGAACAGCTTCCGTAGTCCTTGTCTTTGGAGGTGTGTGTCCAGTCTTCCACAGTGGGTGGGAAGGCCAGACGCACTTGTGGAGCCCTCCCCACTTTCCTGCCTCTTGCCCCTTGGGGGGTTAGGTTAACATCAGCCTGGCCAGTTTGGGAGAGGACCTTTAGAGGCCTCACCCACCACCTCCTGTCATCCCAATGCCTGTCTTGCAGTGGGAGCTCAGGGGGTGCAGATGGGTATAACCAAACTCTGCAGCTGCTCTGCCTAGAAGCCTTCATCTTTCCCCTCACCTGGGTTCCAGGATGACCTCTTCACAACTGTGTCAGCCAGGCTTGTACTTGCTCAGATCCCTCCCACCAGAACACACGTGCCACCCGCCCCCTCAAACCAACACACATGCTGGGCTCATCAACCCTGGGTTTCTTCCCCCACAGCGACTAGAGTCCCAGCCCCAGCCCCAGGAGTCTGATGCAGGTGAAAGGCAGAAGTATAGGCAGCTGAGAATGGGCCCAGCTCACCAGTCTCCACTGGCAATAACCCTGAGCCAGTGATTAGGTTGGAAAGTGAGAAACACAAGGAAAGGGCAGAAGAACCAAGAGCTGGTTGATGGTAGAGGTCAAGGCAGGACCAGTCTCACAGAGGATGAAAGGTCAACTTAGAGCATGGTATTGAAAATAAGAACCTTCATAGAGTTTTAGAAGAAAGGAATTGTGTCTAGATACGGCCATCCCATTTACCAAGGCCAGCACAACATGGACAAAATGGAAGGTAGTAGTGGATGGGAAGACCAGAAGGAGCCCCTTGTAAGGTTGATGAACCAAATTGGGCACAAGAGGTGGGGATGTGCCCCCCCCAGGTTTCCTCCTTGGCCCCTTCAGGCATGTGCTCCCCAGAGATGTCAGCCTTCCTCCTCCATCACCATCTCCTTAGTTTCCGTCATCTGAATGCTTCAGAGGAGGGGATACCCTTAGAGACAGCATCTTAACCCAAAGTGCAGCTCTAGCCCTCAGAGACCTCAGGAACCAACTAACTCTCCAGCGCCAGTGGACACATGGTTCTAAGTGGCTGCCTGCAGGCTGGACAGAGCCCACTGTAGCTTCTGCCTTGCGGCTGGTGTTAGAGAAGAGGGTGGGAGGGCCTGAACTATTTATGAAGTAGACAGAGCTGTGGGATGGAGCTAAGCATTCAAGTGCTGCCCTCTGCCGAGGGGCCATAGGGGACTCCAGGTTAACATTTGAGGTCACTGTCTGGCTTCCCAACAATGGCCAGGTGTCCGGGAGGTGGGGATGTGGGATATGCCCAAGGCATGAGGTGTGGTGATGAATGAGGTCTTTCTTAAGCCCCTCCCTTACCAGATTCATCAAGCACCTGGTAGTGAGCCATAACTGTGGAAGCCCAAAGGTGAGTCTTCTAGGACTGTGGATTAGTAGATGGATGGAGGTGAGGGGAGGAAAGGAAGGGAGAGAGACTTAAGACATGCAGGGAGAGGCCAGAGGACTTGTGACATGGGAAACAGATACTGCTACTCTGTCCTGAGGGCTTTGGTCCCTGCATCAGCCTTCCGACACTGTTCTCTGGAACCTACCAGAGCTGATCTAACTAATATATCATGCCGCCTCTGTTTGCCTTTAAGAGGAAAGTTTGCCCCCAGGTCGATGTTCTGTTGAGCCTCCTGTTGAGAAGCAGGAGTCTGGATTTCCTCTCAGCGGCCCCCTCATCATCCTTCCCCCTGCTGCACAGGAAATCTGGACAAGGCCATGGCCCTCTCCAGTGTGGATCTGGAACTGTTCTGTGCCAGCACATGGGTGCCCATGGTAGGGGATGGGGAGCAGGGCCCTCTCAGCCTGGGGTTACCTGGTTGGAGGCCCTCCAGGGATGTCCCAAGCCAACCTCAGAATAAGCCCTGGGGCCAGGATGCAGGAGGAATCGTGTGAAGGGGAGATGAGAAGAGCCCCTTAAGGTAAGTGTGGGGAGACGCCTGGTCCGGCCACACACAGCCCCCCACCCCAGGACCCAGCCTAGGGT